TATATATATATGATTGGTCAGTAAATCTAGTCTGGTCCTCCAACAGGTAAAAGTGTAACAGAGTGATGAAACAGTATCCCTCTTCTTTTTCTCCTCTCATATCTTGTTACAGTCTTATCAGTCTCAGCTGAATCAACTGATATAATTCATTGTGTTTTACAGACAGCTACATCAACTGTTAGCAGTATGGAGGAAGACAAGAGTGGAAGTGTCTCAGTTTTCAGCCACTGGCTTTCATAGCTCTACACCTTCAGATCCAGGTATGAAGCTCTTTGAATCCTTACTACCATTTCAGAGAACAAACACCTGTCCTTCCATGAATGAAACACACTCTGTCCATCAATCTAAACTTTTCTGTGTATCAGTACYGCCCACAGTCCAACAACTCTAAAAAACAATAATACAGAAGCAGTAAACTGATTCTGCTAACCAGTATTCATTGGACTGTAACTGTTGGTGATTCAAATTAGTGACAAAATGGGTTTGGGGTTACTTTTCAAGCTGATGCTTGAAAACTAAAGCTCAGTCCGTTTGTCAACTTCTGCCTCTGTCGTCCACGACTTCTTCTTCCTTGAATTTTTCCAGTTGATACAAGGTGCTCTAACCCGTCTCTCCTCATAGTGTGTACAAAAACAGGATTGTCCCAGTATGATGGTTTTGTAAAGGGATCTTGTTTCATTTACTCTTGTTAAGATGTCTTCATTGGTGATTTTTACAGTTYATGTGATTTAGAACATACTTCTTAAGAACCACATTTCTTGCAGCACAACACCTCCAGTGCTCTCTTCCAGGTCCTCATAGAGACACATGTTAGAGCCTTTCTGAGGTCTGTCAGTACTTGTTTTGCACCTGAGGGCTCTAGAGTAACTTTTTGAACTGGTTGCACCGGTGCACTTAACTTTTTTTTCTTAGGTGCACCAGTGCAAAAGTTAGGTGCACCCAAAAAGTTTTACAGGCTCACTTGATTTAAAATCACTCTTCATTAAGGTAATATTAACTCACAAATAATTAGTTAACAGTCTAGCAAACATAAAACTGTATATTTGAACCAGAACTGTACAAGATATAACTTACCAAAAAGTATTTAAAGGGATTCTATGATCTGAAATTTTAACTTAAACATCTCCAGATAAATGAAATGGAAGAAATTCTGAATTGTTAGTGCAAACGTTTGAGGGATGATCGTAGGGTTGGCTGGGATTGCTCATTTTCATCCCGCGGTATGACCTTTACAGAAAACTTACTGCTTGTGAGGATTTGTTTAAAGCCACAGATAAGCATTAAAAAACTCAGCTGTCATTCAGAGCATCGCAGCATGAGTCACAGTTTACCCCTTATGTGTAAAAGATTAAACACATCACCGTACATCTGCTTTTAGCAAGAAAAGTCTTTGTACTGATAAAGTTTGTAGTCATTTCCTTGTCTGCAGCKCGAGGTCATGGCCAGGTATCACTGAAAGTTTAAATCTGAAAGGAGTCCCAGTCTTTTCTTGACTTAAGAAACCTGCAGCTGGTTGGTCCGTGAAGCTGTCTGTCAGTACCTACAAGCCCTCTCCCAAGCAACCAATACAGTCAGGCAGAAAAACTCAGGAAAGTGTCTGTCACTCAGTCCATAACTTGGCTGACTGAGGACATTTATTYATAGTAAATTTTGTATATCGTCTAATTTACTTATTAAAATACACCTTTCCTGAGGTTTTTCTTTCTTTCTTTACTGTTGGAAAGGTTGCAGACAACCATCCAGCAAATAAATGAAAATGGAAGAATTAGTGGTTTTATTCACATTGCACTTTGGCAGTGGTGGGCACTAGTCCCCTAAAACACAAATGCACTACTTGCGGACCTAAATTGCTCCTTTGCGCTTTAGGGGTTTTACTAATTTCATAAAACGATGTGCAGATTTACACTTTCTAAAAATTGAGTAGCGCTAATCACAAATAATATTTCACATTCAAACATCAATTTTGTCTAAAGTAAAGAGAAAGAGCCGTCTAGTCTCACGTTTTGTAGCCACATAATTCATTAAAACTTTGTCATCATTTTCTTGAACATTGGAGGGGAAAGTCATCTCTACTGAGCACAATGAACCTTCATTGTGAGGAAACAGTGACCGCTCACGTAACACTGTGTTCACAGAGCTKTATAGACTTCTGACTGTCCTCTGTGACGGTTTCCACTGAGACTGTAATGTTCCCACAATCCTTTGCATGGCAGGAAGCAATTATAACTTCTTCACTGGGTGATAATACACCTGTGGTTCTGATCTGCAGAACCACACTCAGCTGTGCAGTTTGTACCTCCTCTCTCTGAGGGACACTGCAGCAATAAATATTAAATAATAGTAAAGAAACATGGAACAGTTTAAATTCACGCTCTTATTCTGAAAAGAACAGAGTTCCTGTTCTGTGTCATGTAGCCTACCCAGAATGCTTCGCTTCAGTTTCACAACAAAGTTTAAAATTACTAATATATCTGCTTGTTTTCTTACTGAGGCCCTGCCATAAACATAAGAAAATGACAGAGAAGCAGCAGAAGTAGCAATCAACAACTACAACCATGATTTAAGTCTGTTTCTACAAATCACCTCTCCATTCTGCGCCGATATGTGTCAATCTGTCAAAGAAAACAATCTTACAAACAATCTCTTGGAGTCCCTGGACATCCTTATGTCCTGGTCACATGACCAATTTAGTGGGAAAGATAAAAATAGTTCCAAATTGTGTCAAAATTAAACTTCAGGCTATACATCAAATTTCAAATTGTGTTGATAAATAAATTACAGAATGTTTTTTTTAATGTTCGTCATATTTGAAGTGTAGAGGAGCACCAAGCAGACTGACCGTAGTAATCTCCAGTCAGTCTGTTTGGTGGCATTAATCATATTAATCGTCAAGTGCCAAAAAGTAATCGATTAATGTTTTTCTGATGATTAATTGCACACGATACGATTATGCCCATCCCTACAGTAAAGGGCTGACTCTTCTCTTACCTTAATGTTTTCTGGTAAACTATGATTATGTTGCACTTTTTAAATTAGCTTCCACTAAGTTTTATTCAGCATGTGTGCTTTTGAACTTGCAGACCTAAATAAATTGACTAGCGCTTTAGAAATTGTGCAACTAAAATTTAAGTTAGCGCTGCCCACCACTGCACTTTGGTTCAAGCATGTTCATTTTACTGTTGGGACACATAATCCTTCTGCTTATAAATCATTCTTGTGTTTAAAATGGAAAAAAGATAAAAAAAAWTATTGTTTCTCTGTTTTCTTTACTGCTTTGTGTTTGAATTGTTGTTGTTTTTCGGCAGATCCCACAGAGATCCACAAGAAGAAGCTCCTCCTTTGGTTCAGCCACCTTCCCAAAGAGGAGAAACAATTTGGAGATGTCTTTAGTCCAGAGACGATGCATGTGGATCCACTTATCCTGGAAAGACAGTATGAGGAAAGAACTGGACCAGTCAGGTCATTTTATGAAACTCAGACCTGCCCTGGTCCATCTTTGAACATGGAGCAGCTTTTTGAGACACCTGATGGCTGGGGTGTAGGCAGAGGGSCCAATATATTGTTGTATGGAGCTGTGGGAACTGGGAAGAGTACAGTGGTTCGAAAACTCGTCCTGGACTGGTGTACTGGGACCACACTGAGTCGCTTCAAACTTCTGCTTCCTTTCTCCTGTGAAGATCTCAGCCAGCTGTCCAAGTAAGACATCTCTCTTCACCCTCCCACTGTGACAGGCCAGAAAACAAAGATTTCATTGGTTTTAGTTTGGATTTATACTGGACTACTTTTAGTTTATGATGTAATCATACAGTAATGTAAGACAACAAGACTGTGCACTGCTGTGAGAAGTTAATGTGGCATCCAGAGAGGGCGAAAACTGACAGAGAAATTAACAGCAAGCCCAACTGGATCTGTGTCACAAATATTTTTATATCTCTTTACAATAAATGTATGGAATTCATAATTAATGCTAATTTCATAAAACAAACATGTCAAGTTTGAAGGAAAATATATTGAGTTTAACAAATGATCTAAACCGGACCCAATATTTGTCAATAATTATTGACTACCAATGATTTCAAGACCTTTTAGCAAGGTGAATAAGTATGACTTAAGATAATTAATGTAGTTGCAACCAACGTTTTTACATTTTAGACTCTACACCACCTCTGGGGTCTTCTCTGGGGTCAATGGGGTCTTCTCTGGGATCTTCTCTGGGGTCTTCTCTGGGGTCTTCTCTGAGGTCTTCTCTGGGGTCTTCTCTGGGGTCTTCTCTGGGGTCTTCTCTGGGGTCTCCTCTGGGGTCTCCTCTGGGGTCTTCTCTGGGGTCTTCTCTGTGGTCTTCTCTGGGGTCTCCTCTGGGGTCTTCTCTGGGGTCTTCTCTGGGGCCTTCTCTGGGGTCTTCTCTGGGGTCTTCTCTGGGGGTCTCCTCTGGGGTCTTCTCTGGGGTCTTCTCTGGGGTCTTCTCTGGGGCCTTCTCTGTGGTCTTCTCTGGGATCTTCTCTGGGGG